AGATAGATAGATAGATAGATAGATAGATAGATAGATAGATAGATAGACAGACAGACAAACAGACATTGCTCAGGTAGCAAATAATTTTCAATTCTGTCCTTTAAAAATCCAGTTTGATAGTTATTTTTGAGAGATCTAAAGACCAGATTAAAGATGTTAAGATGTTGAATATTTAGACTGTATAAGTGTACAGTTTAGAGATATTCAGCAGTTTAAAATCTACACTTACTACTATATGTGCTTAAAATTTGTATCCGTGCAGTATGAAGTTTTATCCAAACAAATGCAGTTCCACTTTTCACTGAATATGCAGAGGTTTAATAATATATTACATGCATTTTTATTTTATTTTTTATTAGTTTTTTATCCAGGGCTTTATTATTTCATAAGTAACTCAGTGCACCAAACATGCATTAGATATTTGTCTTCTCCTATTTACCCCACAACAATAACCCTGTGATACTGGATATATAATGATACTAAATTTATCAGAAAGGTCTGTGAATATTTGTCAATTGTGCTTTCATTTTCTAAGCTTTCTTTGTTTTGTTTCCCAGGTATAATAATACTACTTCTAATGGGTATCCAAAGAGTTGTTTTATTTTTATTTTTTTAAAAAAACCTTAGTTTGTATTCTTTGATTAGAGCACATTGACAAATGGTAGCCTTCTGTAACTTCTTTCCTTTTCTTTCTCACCTTTATTTCAAAAGAATTCATTGTGATAATTGCTGGTAACATGCAAGAGCTGGTTTGTGCAAAATAGCTAATTGAGTTCCTTGGTTGCAAAGATGTAATTTCTTACAAGAAAAGACAAACAATTATAATTTACCATTGTTCTCACTATCCACATTAACGAAGATGCTTATTTCACTATTGCTTTCTTTCCATGGCCCTTCTATAGATGAAGACAGTAATTACCATGTTAAGAGCAACTTTACTCTTAGATTTTCTCTGGTTCCCATCAAATATGACATCAGATACTTCATGGGCAGATTAACTGCAAGAGATGACTACCACAAATAATAAATGAATCGTGTTTAAGAATGTTTCATGTTTAGGAAGGACCAGGGGAGACACGATAGCAGTCTTCCAATATTTGAGGGGCTGCCACAAAGAGGATTAGGGTTAGGGTTAGGGTTAGGTCAACCTGTTTTCCAAAGCACCCAAAGACAAGAAGCAATGATTGGAAACTGAACCAGGAAAGATTCAACCTAGAAATAAGGATAAATTTTCTGACAGTGAGAATAATCAACCAATGGAATAGAAGTTGCCTTTGGAAGTTGTGGGAGCTTCATCACTTGAGACTTTCAAGAAGAGATTGGACTGCCATTTGTCATAAATGGTGTAGGGTCTCCTGGTTGGTGGGATCAGACTAGATGACCTACAAGATCCCTTCCAACTTTGTTAATCTGTAAACCTGTAAATTCAGCATAACGCAATTACCTTGCAATGACCAGGCCATATTAAAACTTAATATACTAATCCTTCACTGATGCAATTTATCTGCTCTCCACCAGTAGCATTAGCAGACAACTGATTACAGGTAGTCCTTGATTTAAGTCCACAATTGAGCCAAAAAAATTTGTTGCTAAGTGAAAAATTTGTTAAGTCAGCTTTGTCCCATTTTATGATTTTTCTTGCCACAATTGTTAAGTGAATCACTGCAGTTCTTCAGTTAGTAACATGGTTGTTAAGTGAATCTGGCTTCCCCATTGACTTTGCTTGTCAGAAGCTTGCAAAAGATAATCACAGCAATAGTCATAAGTATGAACCAGTTGCCAAGCATCTGAATTTTGATCACAAGATCACGGGGTTGCTCCAAAGGTTGTAAAACTGTGAAAAACAGTCATGTCATTTTTTTCAGTGCTGTTGAACTTTGAACAGTCACTAAATGAACTGTTATAGGTCAAGGACTATCTGTATGTTCACTTTAGTAAAAAAAAAAACAACAACAACCAAGCAGTACATGTCAATTATCAATTCTTGACAGTGAACTGATAGTTGTCTTGTTTGAACGCTCAGAGATCTGAGTTCCCATCTACTTCACCCAAGAAAATCATGCTTTTGTCATTATTTTGTTTGTTTTTATTACCGAAAGCTGTTTCTTTCTTCAGTTATTCACTAATGTTTCTGGTATTTTACTACGTTGAATTGTTGTTGTTGTTGTGGCTTTGCTGCCAGAAGTAGCAGCAATAAAGCTGTTTTGACAACTACAGTTGTATCCAGGGATTTGCTGCCTATTTGTTAACAAGGGGGTCTCCAGCCAATGGAGAAAGGAGGGAAGCATGCATTATTAGTGTAGATAAAGCTGAAGTAAATGAATCTGTAAGACAGCAGACAGCAGACTCATAATACCTATGTACCTGCAGTATGCTGATTTTTCACATGTTACTCCAGCTAATAATTCTGATTATAGAGATACTAAAGTTCAGTTTGCCCTGTTTATTGATGCTTTGTCTCTTTTAGCACTTTAATGTAAGAAATGTAACTTAAGAAATGGTTTGCTGTGTTTATGATATAAACAACCTTTGTAGAGATGTAATTCATCAGGGCTAGAGGAGTGCTTTTACTTTGATGTCCAGAAGCTAAATCAAATAGATGATAATGGTATGATTCCTATTTCTGGTTATTGCTTGACATCTTGAGGACGGCCTGATGGAAGGGTGTCATATACATTTGACAGATAAATGAAACCAATCCATTTTAGCCCTTGCTCTTTTCTTTTGTTGGCTTTCTTTTGGTTGATGCTAGGTTTTAAACTGTCAATTACCATTTCCATTAAAAAAAAAAAACATATCGTAATGCTGAGTCACTTTGGGAATGGCATGTTCCTTAAATCTCAAAAGCAGGATATGAATGAAATAAATAATATTAAACCTTTCCTTCTATGTTACTCTTTAAAAGAAGCTGACCTGCCCTGATTTTTGTAGGTCTCTTTTTAAAAAAAGAAAAATCAAATATCTTTTCTTTTCTCTCTTTTACCCCCTATCTCTGTACTTTCCCTTTTGTCTCAAAACATAAAGGCAGTTCTCCTAGTTTTGCTTTGGCTTTTAAGAGTCATATAAAAACAAAATCAAAATGCCTTAAGAATTGTTGTCATACGTGCTGTCCTTTGCTTGCCAACAGCCTGGAAATATGGAATCAAATAACTTGTGTTTCTTGTCTCCTCTAATATTTAAGGTCTCTTCAAGATCTCTCCTGGCAGACAGATATTCCTTACGGCACCGTTTTGGATTCTGCAGTCTATGAACATGTACGGGTGAAAGGGATGAATCCTTTTGAGAAGAATAGCATGTATTCGAAGTTGTGGCAGATGATCAACCGAAGTAATGGGTCTGAGAACAACGTGCAAGAATCCCAGATAGGCATTCATAAGGTAAAGACAATAAGCCAACCTTTTCCTTGATCATTAGAAAAATCCTTAGGAATAATGGATTTATTTTATAAAGTTTTACCACAGAATTGTTAGGACATGAAAAATAATCACCTTAGAGTGATTTCAGCTTTTGGCTCATTCTGTTGCAGCCTGAAATTGGGACTGATTTATGTACTGTATTTAGTTTAATTTTGTTTTTTGTTTTTTTCAAAAGAAAAGTCAATGCTTCTTTTTTTTACCTTGAAAAGATGAAGCCAGTTGTTCACCACTTTTTTAAAAAAAAACATCTTTGTGTAATTTAGCTCTAGAAGGAGACAGGGGCAGCTATTTACAGATAAGAACTTTGCTTTTTGGCTTAGGACAGTGTTTCTCAACTTGAGGTACTTGTTAACGTGTACTGTGGCTGTTAATATGGCTGGCTGGGGAATTCTGGGATTTGAAGTCCACACGTCTTAAATTTGCTGAGGCTAAGAAACCCTGCCTTAAGATGACAGATTTCACCTATTCATTAAGAGAAGCAAGATTAAGCATGTTGCTTGTGTTTTGTACTGCAGCTTTAGGGCTACCAATTATATTAGAAATACAGAAGCCATGTTCATAAACTTTTTCACAAGCCTTGCCAATTTTCTTTTCCTGACTGAGGTAAAGATCAAGACCTTAGGAATGCCAAACAGCAAGTGAGAAAGAAAGAAAGGACAGTAATCTTAAATGTTCCATTGTGCTTTTTTGAGTTCTACAGCGATAGTGGCAATTTGGCAAACCTTAAAGAGCTTCTTGAATAAGAATGGTTCACCACTGAGCCACCTTGACTATTCCCATCTTGGGAATAGATTCCCATCTATTGCAATGCGCTCTACATGGGGCTGCCCTTGAAGAGCATCCCAGAAGCTCCAGTTGGTGCAAAATGCAGCGGCCCACATGGTTTTGTGCAGACCGCAACATGTACATATATCACCTCTCCTGCGAGAATGGCATTGGTTCCCAGTTTGTTTCTGGGTGCAATTCACGGTGCTGGTTGTCACCTTTAAACCCCACCATGGCTTGGGACCAAGTTATTTGGGGGACTGTCTCTTGCCAGTCACATCTATCTGACCCATCAGAGTGGGGAGGAAAGGAATGTTGCGGGTCCCATCCCCAAGGCAGATACACCTTGTGGGACCCAGAGGAAGGGCTTTCTCTGTGGTGGCTCCCTTTCTCTGGAACATCATTGCCCCAGAGATTAGAATGGCTCCCACTCTAATGAAGACCTGGTTCTGTCAGCAGGCCTGGGGAACCCAGAGTGGGATGGAGCCCATTAAATGGCTCATGTGATCCCTGGGGCTGGGGAGTTGGAGCTGGGGGTGATTTTGTTATATTGTACTATATTAATTTATTTGATTCTTTTTGTTAGTTCTTATTGTTTTAAATGTGGTTTTATATTCTGTGAGCTGCCTTGAGTCGCCATAGGTGAATGGGCGGCAACATAAATTCAATAAATAAATAAATGCACTTGCTTAAAGAGATGAGGAACTGTTTTCCTCTGAGTTGAAGTTAGAGAAAGGAAAGAAAGAGGGGGAGGGGGAGAGGAAGAGGAAGAGGGGGAAAAGGATACAGTTTTCTGATTAAAAAAAACAAGTTGACCTGCTTTATTTTTTTTAAAAAAATGGCATGCTTCAGAGAATCTGAAGTCTGGTTCTCCACAGGTTCATGCTTGCTAAATAACTGATTTTATATATATGTTTGTTTGGAAAAAACTGAGTCCAATCAATTGTTTACCATGATTCACTGTCAGTCCTTTTTGCCATCCGAAGTTTCCAAATTTCTCTTATGCCAATTATTTAGACTATAAATACATGGCACCCTACATTACTGCTTATTCTTCCCCATTCCCTCCTGCAGTTATCTGCGGCAAAAAAACGTATCTTTTTCCCGGTGAATAGACAGAATCACAATGTGCTTAAATAATACCTCAGTACATTTAACTTGGTATACAAAATATTTAACTAGCAGGAAAACTGTGAATTACTGTCAAGTGAAATAAAGCTTTTGGGTTTCACAATAAAAGAAGGTCTATTTTGCAAACCAGGATGTTAATATTCAAGCTACAACTCAGCGGTAACTGAAACACAGAAATAATGGTTCTTCAACTCTTTTTTCTCTCTTTCTCTTCCACCCCCCACCCCCAATTCTTACTGGGATAAAGAATGACTTCCTTTATTTTGCTGATAAATAACCTTTTAACCATGATAGTTAAATTCTTTGCTTCCATCCAAGCATTATATGGAATTGTCCCTGCTTAGCTTCCAAAATCACGAGGAAATCACAGGATTGTAGACTAGACTGGGAAGTAAAAATCACAAACTTCCCAGTAAATAGCAATAGCCAGTTACTTTTTTAATGTTGTTAACATAGTCTCCATTAATCAAGCTTGATGAATATGCAAGCCTAAGAATTCTATGTATAGTATAGGATCATGATATCTATGAGTAATATGTTTACATGTATTTACGCAGGTAGCATGGCTGTAGTATTATTTATTCCTCTTATTATCTTCTTTAGTCACCCCTTTTATTGTTGTTGTTGTTGTTGTTGTTGTTTAATCTTTAATGAGATTCACAGCGTTTGGGGCTGGTTGGTAGCTCAACAGCTCGAGTACTAACCAAGGACTTAGGAACTGTTCAGGTAGCGTCGGAGGATATAAGCTGTTCCAAGTAGGGTGGTTTTTTTATAGAATCAGGGTATTCAAGTCTGATGAATTCAGGATTTCCAAATAGTGAGGCAGCTATTATTATTATTATTATTATCATTATCATCATCATCCTCATTTTGCTGCTTTGTATGTACACTGAGAGCTTCTGTACTGGAGACCAATTCCTCTAATCACACTTGGCCAAATAAATATTCAGTTCATTTCAGTTCAATACCATGAACTGGAAAGTTATGCCTAACCTTTAATCTAATGCTATCAACATGGATTATGTGCCAGAAGAGCGGGTCTAACTAACATACTTGCTAAATTTACATAGTTGCTAATTGTCTATATAGCTATGGACAATTATGAACAATGATTGTTAAGATGCTGTTAATAGCCATAATCCCCATTCTTTTTCTCTGATGCTGAAAAACTGATTCCTTATATTATTAAGTAGAGGAGAAATTTCATAGAGTCACAGATGCCTGGGCTTGGAAGTCATGGAATGTAAGAGGTCCAGTCTAGTGTCCTGGTTCCTACCTCTATTCTTCATCCTTTGCTGTCTGCCAAGTGCTGTCCATAGTGAACTCTTGGCTGGCACTTATTTGTTTTTAATTGAAGCATCCCTGTGACACAGAGCACTCAAGCACTTTTCGAAATACAAGATTGCAACAATCAGCCCAGTTTTATCCAGAGGTTAAGGAGATTTTTCCCCTCACACTCATGGACTACTGTATAACTGTACAGTAGCACGTTTCCACTTGATTAAAGCAGGTAATGGATGCCTAACTTTAAAGGTTGCCATGGAGTAACACAATTTTCCAAGCCAAGCTACCGCTTCAGATTGGATCACTGCAGAGGTCTGGCTTGAGATAACATTTTAAGATGGAAAAGAGGCACTTCCTATAGGTCAAACATATAAATTACAGTAGAAATAGCATTTATAACAATTAACCAATTCAACGCTGTAATAAGAATTGATAGTTTAAATGGAAGTCTGATTGACCTGTTCTCGGTGCATGAGCAACGTAAAAACTTATCATATTAAACAGCTCTATATCTAAGCCACCAGCTTGCATTTTTCATTGTATAATCACTTAACTGTTAGGTCAACAATCAGAGTTTAAAAAAAGAGAACTGACAGTTGGTCCAGCCATTTTTAATCCAGTTAATCGATCTGCCATTTTCAGTATTATTTTATTGTAATATTTGTTTATTGGTCATCTCCAATGTATTTGCAATGTATATCTTTAAAGCCTAGGTCATGGGTGTCAAACTTGCAACATCATGTTGTCATCACCTGAAGTATCACAACTTTCCCTACCTTTGCTAAAATGGGTGGGCGTAGCCAGCGTGTGATGCATCCAGCCCATGTGCCATGAGTTTAACACCTCTGGCCTAGATGAAAAATGACTCATTAAACAGAAAGAGACAGCAAATAAAATATATGAAACTGGGTTAGGATTCTTTTTATAATTATTTACCCTTGTCCATGTTGGTTTTTGATTAATAAGAACAATTGAACAAATTTAGACTAACTGTACCAGATTACTTTGGTTTCTCTGTGACCATATGTCATACCCCTGTCGGAATCTGATTCTGAGGGGGAGTCCAAGCAGCTGACAGGAAGTGGGAGTGTGGCTCCGGTGGCTGTGGAAGAAACAGGGGAAGGGCAAAGTCCGGCTGGGCAGAGCAGGGAAGAGGTAGAGCAAGGCAGAGGGAATTCAGAGGAAGATCTAGGCCCACACCCCTCTTCATCCTAGGGCATGCAGGGAGGAATGGAGAAGGGAGCAACGTAAGTTGTGTGGCTTACGGGGAAAGAAAGGGCCCTAATTCCCTTCATGAGCTACAGCTTGGAACATAGTGTTTAAAAAAGGGAGATTGTGCACAACAACTTGTTGGAAGCAAATCATGAGTTATCTTTTATTTATTATCTGGGTCCTGGCATCTTCCCAACTGTGTGTGTTTTGTTGGCCTTTGAAGTCTGCAATTCCTTATCCTGCCCTGTACAGTTAATTGCTGCAGCGTGGTTTGTGTGGATTTTTATTTACAGTTTATATATACTTTGTTTTCGGACTGAATTTCCTCCACTTAAAAACTGTTTTGGGGAGAGTTTTTCTCCAGCCAAAGGTAACTGAGTGCAAAGTTGGAGATATTAAAGGGACTTTTTTTTACTTATGTGACTGTGTTGCATTTGTGCCATGCCCTGGGTCATCACCACCAAATCTGACCCAGATATATCCATGAAATTTTGATAACCTAGGTAGGGAACAATCCTAATCTCCTGTCAAGTTTCCTCCATCCAATTGTAGCCTCACACAAACTGCCT